CCTATATCCACAGTTTCAACATGACTATATTTTCCTTCTCAATGCCCAATTTATGAGTAGTTTCTTCACTTTCAACTTTAAATAAAGATTAAATACAAAGTCTTATGTATTTTTTCAATAGCTTTTTATCCAAACTGTTTAATTCTTCCCTTTATCTTATCTTACCACTTCAAAATATCAACATATTTGAAAAACAATTTTTCTCCAACTATACATTCCTACAATAAAAGTATTACCTTCTTATATTTTTAAATTAATGACATATTAAACTTGAAAATCCTCCACTCTCCTGCCATTACAATAATTCTCTCTCTCTCTCTCTCTCTCTCTCTCTCTCTCTCTCTCTCTCTCTCTCTCTCTCTCTCTCAATTAGCAACCGATTAAAAACAACCAAACACTTACCCTATTTAGAATCAAGTATACAATCAAAGCTTAAGCGATATTGCTCCAAGTTTAAAGGTTAGTTCCATATAATCGACTCAAGTGATAGAAGTTTCAATTTTGATTTTACTTATAGGAGACTATAATTATCATGCATAATTTTTTAAGCTTTTGATCTTGCAATTCCTCTCTTTGTAGCTTAGTCTCAACTACAGTTGGTTTAATATGTTGTCACCACTCTCTCCTCTTTTGCTTGCACACTATTTTAACAACAAAGTTCACATTTTTCCCATGGTTATCTCTCAAATGCATAGCAGGAAGGTTTTTTATTCAGTTGCAAGGAGAAAATCGTTAGTCCTTGGAAAGTGACAAAAGAAGATGGACTATGATCATGTAAGTTTTCTTTTCTTTCATTCACATACACAGACACACACAGCCTATATTGTTTATTTTAAGGATCATTCTGAATTACAATTTAGTTCTTTATTCTTCTCCATGATAGAGACTCATGGATAATGTATAGGTCATATGCTCATCTATATGCTAAAATAATGAGGTGGCTAACAATTTTTACTGTTATAAGTTTGAAGAGTGTTCCTCAATCATTATATGCTATTCAGCATCAATTTTTCAAATTCCATTTTTTCTTTGCTCAAAACCATAAATTGATTTTGTCCAGTGACATCCAAGTGCAGGTACTCAAAGGCCACAGGGGATTCCGGCTGGCCCTTGAAATGGCTGTCATGTTCCTGTATAACAAGCCAGAGATGTAACAGAGGAATACTACAAAGAAATGCTCTAAAGCCCACTACGTTTTAGAGTAACGATAAATTGGCATTGCATATTAAGGCACAATGTATTGGATGTCATGATTTAGTCGCATTACTTTTTTAGCATGAACATGTCAACTGAGGTATTCTTACATTAGCATGTTATGTTAATTTACTATGTCAAAATAGTTATTTTATTACTTTTAACATCCATGGAATTTATGTCACATAGACTGCGGGCTGTTCACTTACCTAAATCTAGAGCCTAAAAAATCATCAAAAGCCAAAAAGGGCAATATAATATAATTTGATCACATTGTTGACAATAGCCATAAATTAAGTGGGTCCAATGATGCATAATTTTACATTTTGTTTTTGTTAATCATAACAATATAGAAGTTCTCCATGTTTTTTGGTTCTTGAATAAAAACCAATATGGATATAATTGATCCTACAAGGTTTGTCAACTATAATTGATCAAGTAAAAAGCAAGATTGTTGGTGGTCTAGGAAAAAAAGAATATGAAAACAGAGAAAAATGTAAGTTGAATATTGTTTAAATTGCTTTAAGAATTCTAGAAGATGCCAAGGGTCAAGTAAAGTAATTCATCTTCATAGGAAGTATACATATGTGGCTTTTATCACTATGAATGGAATTCAAAACACAGCAATTTTTCATGTTGTTAAAGAACATTTTCTTAGAATTAGAATATAAAAAGAACTATTTCTGGCTTTTAAAACAAAACCAGTAGCCTTCTCAAACATAAACTATTATACTAAAAAATAAAATTTTAAATTCTTGTTGCCCATTACGGCTCATATGCTAGCACCTTAACATACAATGTCACAGTTATAATTCTTTATTCATGACCACTAACCGTGTTAATCCTTAAGTGGTTTAGAAACAATTTTGGGTGCAACAAATAGTGATAGAACAAAAAATTTATGTTGACGAAAAAGTAATTTTGTATGTCCAAATGTTCCTTTGACTTTAGTTAGTCAAATTTGTGATATTTAACATGCGTGCATAAACAATAAGTATAACACAAAATAGTTCACATGCAACGCACGTGTGCACAAATTAGTCTTGTAAAATTCTATCACATTTTATATCGTAATATTTGTCAAGCATTTGGCCAGCAAATGTTAGCAGGTCCATTCAAATCTATAAAGGAACATATAGAACATATATAATGGTTCTATAGTGAAATATGTTGATTTGCATAAACAATTAGAGAGTCAATTTCAGCGAATTAGATCATCTTCCTGAATAGACATTCAATTCGGTAGGTAACATCGATAAAGTTACCACAACCGCTATGAACTTAGCAATGGAGAGCAATTCAAAGAAATGAGACTAAATCTTTGCACTAAACCCTAATTGAGTTATCGAGAATTCGAAATCCCAAAAAGGTTGATTATAGCGCGTAATGGTCTTAATACCCTAAAAAAACAAAATGAGTAATAAATTCAATGCCGATGAACTAGTGCCTAGTGCAGTGGACAATGCCAGACAAACAACTGTGAAACTTTAGATAAAATATCACAGCACCCATTTTGTACAAATAAGTCCAAGTTTGTGCTATAACCAGTGACCAGCAAAGGCCAAACTGTGTGAAAGCTTTCGAAGTCATTGCTGAGGCAACTATTTGAATGTTGTCTCGTGCGTGTTCATGACTCATTTTGAATGACATTTGCAATGACTTATTCAATGGACAAAGCACTGGCAGACAAGCTTCAATGCTATACAGGATATTGAAGAAAGAATGTGTGACCAATCAATTTCATGTGGAATTAATACTGCATTTCAATCAACAGGAGAAGAAATTTTGAATGGTCACAAACACTGATACATATACACTATTATACAGAGACAAATCAAAAGAATAATGGAAAAGTAGGGTTCAATAGATTAAAGAACACATACATGAGATTCTCAACAGCGGAGAATTCCAGCAGCCGTTGTCTTCCGAAGGACGTTGTGGAAAGATCCAGAACAGCATTACAGGCAGCCATTGATACACTCCTCTTAGAATTTCCCAATGTAGAGATCAAACCCATCACAATTTCGCCATCCAAAGCAATTTGTGCATTCATCCCATATGAATACAGCGATGCTGCCCCCACAATCTCTGCACTTCTACATGCAATCTCAGCACAACTGTCATCAAATTCCCAACATCTTAGTCTCATTCATATAATTTTCACTACACACACATTCACACACTCTCTTTTATTATTTCTTCATCCGATCTCGAAATGTATTCTTAAGTTTAGTACACCAAAATTTATGACGTCCAACACGCGCAGGCACACACACGCCCACGCACACTCTAATGAATCTAGGGGCGCCGACTTGAAAATATTAGCTTGACATATAATTTAGGAAAATCACAACGAGTTCGCCTACCCGAGATTCTTTCTATTTTTTTCAATACCCACCAAAAGAGTGGTCCAAAGAACCGTCCTAAATCAAAATACTGGGATAGTTGCCAGACAGAGGGTAATAATTACCTGGATTTTAGAAGAACTGGAAGCAACGAGAGGATGGGGACGAAGAGGGTCTCGTGGGTATTGGGTTTGGGGGCAGTGAAAAGCAGAGAGAGACGAAGTTGCTTCAAGCACTGGATTAAGATGGGTTCAGAATCAGGTATATTGTGCAAGTAGCTGTTTGAAATTGAAGCTAACATCAAAGCGAAGAGGGTTTGGGAATTGGGGTGTACTTGAAGCCTGGTGGAACTTGTATATCGAGACTCGTACTTATTCCTTTTCCTTTTTATGCCTCCCTTGTCCTTCTTCTTCTTGTTCCTTTCGACCTGCTTGTCCATTGTGATTCTGACCTCCCTTCGTTGCAAATTAAAATGCTAACCGCCGCTTCAAAGTAACGTCAATTACCATTTTAAAGAAGGTGAGACTGGAATGATATCTACATTATTATTCAAATATCGAATTCAACTCTAGACTAAAACATATGTCCTTGAAAAATTGACTATAAAGAGTTTTGAGCACTTTCATGGCAAATTTATTTTTGAAGGGCGGTTAAACTTGAAGCGCAGTTAGATAAGTTTTAAAATGTTTTTGGATTATTTGTATCTCATTTTAGTCTCTAACATTCCAATCGAATCACATTGATCCCCAAAATATTCACTTTAATTTATTTTGATATCAACTATAGACACTGTCTTATTTTTTTTTGTCTCCATCCCCATGTGCCATCCACGTGAGAGGAAAATTGGACATTACACCCTACTTAGCCATTTAAGGACCGTGATTCTCAGACTTTTCATTTTCATTGCAACGACAACAATGGTGAAAACTGTTGCTCAGGGCAAAATATAAGAGTGATTAACTTTGTCTTCATCTTGGTTGACTGTGAATCATAGTATAAAGATGATCCATTTCATTATGAAGAAGAAAGGGATTCAAGCTGGATCATACAATGTTCCCTATTACAGTATGTACTAATTTTTATACGTTTGGGTTTCAGCTTCATGGGTACAACTGAATATAAAAGGTTTCGATGTTGTCAAATAGATTTGTTTATGCAAAACATTTTTTTTTTTTACAATATTTTATAGTTTATGTGGTTGCTGGAAACCACTTGTTTTTGCAATATGAATTTTATATATTTTATTTTATAATTTGTGTCATTGAATTTTATAATATGAATTTTGTATTTTCTTGTTATTGGAAACCATTTGGCAATTTTTATATTTTTTCTTACATATGTGTCAACAAAATCATGTTGTAGGGCATGAGTCTTCACTTTTCTCAATGAAGGTTCACCATAGTGATGAATTTATAGAGAATCCAAATAAAGCTAATGTTGGGGGCAAAATAGACTACATAGATGACTGTAATTGTAAACTTATGTCACTCATTGAAATGGATGATATAGCTAATAGTCTTGGCTATAGTCCATATATTGGATTTATTACAAATTTTCTGGTTTGGATTTGCACAAAGGACTAGTACATATGAGTAGTGATGAACAGTTATTAGATATGTCACATCATTTGCATAAAAACAGGATAGCTCAAGTATATTTTAAACATATAGGAGGTATTAAATTAGGGGAGAGTCAGGTTGGATCATCTAAAGGCAAAAGTAATCATCCTGATGATGGCGATGCCCCAATTGATGACAATAGGGAATAGGGTAGCATCAGACTCAGATGAGTACCAACCTGAATCTAAATGTAGTGAATATGAAGAATTGGTTGACAGTGATTACGAAAATGAGTATGATGACATGTTGTATGAGAATTGTGTTGATCATGAAGCTGAATGGACTGGTTTGAAGAGTAACAAGCAAAAAACAACAACAGAAGACATAAGGCATTGCTTAGATCTGAGTGACTTAGATGGTGATTCTTAGGATATTGTAAGTTGTTGTAGTTCATCTGATGGAGAGACTGATGCAAGAAAAAAACCAAAATTTGTAGTATTTTGGACAAACAAAGATCAGGAAGACCCACAATTTAAGCTAGGTACGTTATTCAGTACATCTGAGGAGATCAAGGTTGCTACTAGACAACATGCATAGTTGGTAAAAATTGTCAAGAGGGCTGCAGTTGGCTTGTTTATGATTCTAGAGTGCATAGTGAGAAAACATACTAAATAAAGACATACATTAGCAAGCACGTATGTGGGAAGACTTACACTAATAGCAATGTGAACTCAAAGATGATTGCATTGAAGTATCTGGAGGAGCTAAGAATCAACACTGTTGGCCTATAAAGGCTTTTAAAAAAAAGGGTTAGGCAAGATTTATATGTAGATCTAACAAGAAATCAATTATATAGAGCAAAGAAAAGGGCAATGCTATTGATACATGGGGATGACATTGAACAATATGGTAGACTATGGGATTATTTTGAGGAACTAAGGAGGGTTACTCCTGGTTCCACAATTGTTTTGGATGCTCCTGTAGATGAGGAAATAGGTTAACTTAGATTTCATAGGTTATATATCTGTCTTGCAGCATGTAAGAGTAGATTTTTGGAAAGGTGCAGGAAAGTAGTTGGACTAGATGGTTGCCACTTGAAAGGAGCATACAGTGGACAGTTGTTGACAGCAATTGATATTGATGCCAATGATTCTATGTTTCCTATTGCATAATGTGTTGTTGAGATCGAGATGAAAGAATCATGGGCATGGTTCTTAGCAACACTATGCACAGACTTAGGCATCAATTATCAGAACCAACACCAATGGACCTTCATCACTGACAAGCAATAGGTATGTCCATGTTAATAATGTGCTTGTTAAACCTCCACAAGGTTAAACCCAAGCTAATGTCATATCTTCTGACCCATCTCCAAGCCAAGTCCAAGCAATTACTACATTGACAAATGGTAAAGTGATTGAAAAGATCATCAAAGCCAAAACTCTTGAGTTAGTAGTTGAGTCAATTCTTGTTAATGAAACAGTTGAATCTGAATCAATTGTTCAAAAAGAAACAGAATTGCCTGACAAAAAAGACAAATCAAATTCTGTTCCTTTACCTTTTCCTCAACGAGTTAAGAAACCTAAACCACTGAACAATCATGCTAAAATTTTTAAATTGTTTAAGCAAGTAAAGATGAACATCCCTGTTGGATGCAATCAAGCAAGTCTTATCATATGCCAAAATTTTGAAGTACAAGGATCTACGGAGTCCCACAGTTTCATGTATAATTGAAAACTTCGGAATTGAGCAAGTTTTGCTTTATCTTGAAGCCAGTATCAATTTACTCTTGTATATAGTCCATGAGCAGTTAGGGTTGGGAGAGTTAAAACCCATAAAAGTCACATTACAGTTGGCTGACCAATTTGTAAAAATTCCATGAGAAGTTGTTGAGGATGTGCTTGTTTAAGTTGATAAGTTTTATTTTTCCTGTGGATTTTATTGTTTTGGATACTCAGCTAGTTTTGCATATCTCTACACAAATTCCTGTAATTTTGGGACGTCCGTTCCTTGCTACATCAAATGCATTGATTAATTATAGGAATGAAATCATGAAACTTTCATTTGGTAACATAACATTGGAATTAAATTTGTTTGATATTGCTAAAAAAACCCAGGGAGGAGGAAGATTTGCAAGAAGTAAATTACATTGAGTCCTTAACTCAGAGTCTATTCGAAAAAGCTTGTATTAAAAAAGAGTCGAGTGCATTGTTAGAGTCTATAAATATTGTTTATTGTAGATATGTCCACTGTTGGAACATGAGTTCCAAAATTTGAAGAGTTATTACCCAATGGAACGAAGTCTGTTGAGTCCAGTGTCATGACTTTCAAGCTAGAGTTGAAACCTCTTCCAATTGATTTGAAATATGTCTTATTGGGGGAGGATCAAACTTATCCAGTGGTGATATCTTCAAAGTTGTCAGAGCCTTAAGAAAGTCAAGTGATAAGAGTCATCAAAGTACAATTGGTTGGACAATAGCCGATATTAAGAGAATAATTGTTCTCCTCTGTACTTATTGTATATACTTGGAAGAAGACTCTAAACTATCTTGACAATCACATCGTAAGTTAAATTCACACCTTAAGAAAGTTGTTCAGGCTGAAGTACTTAAATTGTTAGATGCTAGGATTATATACCCTATATCGGATAGTAAATGGGTCAGCTCTACATAAGTAGTACCTAAAAATTATGGGGTTACGGTAGTGACAAATCAAGAAAACGAATTAGTTCCTACATGTACAATCACTGATTGGAATATGTCTATCGACTATCAAAAATTAAATTCTCTTAGTATAATAGATCATTTTCCTCTACACTTCCAAGACCAAGTTCGAGAAAGGATGGCTGGATATGCATTTTATTGTTTTTTGGACGGGTACTCTAGCTATAACCAAATTGAAATAGTAATTAATGTGATGCCCCAAAGTTCGGGTGTCCACAATTATACCATTGAACATCTATTAATCCGCGAAATACCCGTGAATACAGTGTAACTTGATACCACGTCATTATGACCCATTTATCGGGATCCATAACTTAACAAAATTCGGTTAAAGTTTTCTTTGTACTGAGAGCTCTACCCAAAACACAACATGTGCAATCATACAACATTGACCACCTTGGGTCCATTTATTCATACTCAATTGCATAATATCGGATACTACCATAATTATCATTTCTACGTACATTCATTTATAAAAGAATAATTGTCCCAAAAGAGTCTCATATACATGTCTTTTTAATATGAAACAAGTTTTTGTTTACAAAATTATACAAGGTCAAAAGTAAACATATACAAGGGACTACAAAGTAAAAATAAAAGTCATAGTTTGGCTCTGTCGTCAAAGCGAACTCATAGGAGGACCTTCAGTGGAAGCCTGTGCGATACTTGAAAAATATTCCCATAAAGGGTGAGACAACGCTCAATAGAGTAACTCTTACAGAGAATACCTCTCAACCTAGGTGCATATGAAATGTCACATACAACATCATTTCATGCATTCATTCAAATATATGTATTATGAACAAATGTCATAAACCATGTCATGCCATGACATGAGAATCACGCAAGCAAAACCAATATTGAGCCCCATTCCGGGCTCCCACAACACATGCAATGTCATGCGTATGTATCTAAGCTTTTCAAGCCCCCGTCATTAGTGTTATGTACACTCGGTGACTAATTAATTCATTTTCTCGTATTTGTAGGACGATGATTTATGGTATTTCACCAGTGAGATACCATACCTTCAACGATTTTTTAGGACATCCCACCTGCTGCTCTGTTTTCGCAGTTATACTTTTTTAGAATTGCACCGCCGGAAAGTGTATAAACCAAATAACCGAGTCTTGCACCTGAAAGAGAATTTAACCTTTCTTACTACATCCCGACACGTTTATCCATTTAATTTTTCATGCGACTCAGCCGAACCTTGGTGCGACTTTTTCGAGCCCACAACCAAATACCTATGTAATGATTGATTTCATACCATGCACATACTCGTACTCATGTCAATGCCGATGAGTGTAGTGTAACTCATACATAATGCAATGTACAATTGCCTTCGGTACCATTTACAATGTCAATTATATAATGAATACAATATAATGACATTTTTAATACCATCCCAAGAATGTTATTTAAGATAATCAACTCAACTACATACTTGTATTCACCTAGGCATTAAAACAAACACCTACAGAGTACATCAATTTACACAATTAGCATACTCATCACTTCCAACATGACAACATGTTTATTAATTCTATAAACATAAGTATAAGTCTACCACACTAATCATATGCTAAATAATCATTTAACATACATATTATTTCATAATCACATAACAAGCTAATAATTTTATTAAACTTGATATACCATTAAAATATCAAGTTATGCTAATGTACAATTAACATGCTTTAAACCACTAACATTAATTTATACCAAGTTAATCATAATAGGATTTTACTAATTACAAGATTAATTGTAAATCTTATATTTCACCTACTAGTTAAGACCTAACAAGTGATATACACCCTTAGCCTACCCATCTCATATGCCATTTTTCTGGTTTAAATTACATCTAAATATGGGTAAGTCTACCTCTCGTAGAATGAGCACATGTAATAGAACTCTAAAAAAAACTCAAATTTAGTTTCTCAAGCCTTAGTCCTAGACTCTTCTCTTTGCTATTTTTGGAGAAAGGCACGATCTTTGGTGTAATTGTGTAGCTCGTGTTACGTAAAGCAACTTTAACTCTTGGCCCGTGGTGATCAAACGATTTGATCTTCGTAGATCTAAGGAAGAAGATCAAAAAACTAATTTTTTTTCCTTTTTCCTTTCTTTTTACCTCCTTTCTTTTCCAAGAATGATTGGAATACTAAACTTTATATACTTCTAAATCCTTGACCCACATTGCGTCTCACTTTCAATTTTAACGGGTCTAATTTTAATCTGAATCAATTAAATCTCGTCTCATGTTAAGTTTAGTATATTTTTATTGAACTAAGTTTAAGTCATTTTTTGGGTCCCGCGAATAAATCTATTGCAATTTATTTTAGTCGCGTGACACTCGATTGCTTCGTAACACGTGAAAAATTTGACTGTCTCTAAATTCTACAAAAATTGATTGGATAACTAGATTTCATGAGATAAATCCAACGGTGAGGTTCGTTTCGTAATCTGAATTACATAAAAGTTCATGTTTTTAACCCGTGCTTTAACAACTAATTACTGTTTTACCCTTTTAATTAAGATTTTAATTTTTCTCATGTTTTACAATTAACGATTAGGAGAAAATCATTTTTACATGTCCTTTTGGCACTTTTGCTTATAAAAGAATGTCATTTGGATTGTATAACGCTCTAGCTACTTTTTATTGATGTATGTTAAATATTTTTAGTGACATGGTGGAACAATTTTTAGAAG